AGCCCATACTTCATCACCTTCTCTGTGAGAATGTAAGAGGAGACAGTGTCCAAAACCTGACCAAAGTCACGGTAGAGAGTATCCACTGCTCTCCCTTCATCTACCAAGCCAGTCACTTCATCACAGAAGGCGACCAGGTTGGTCAAGTATGACTTCTCCTTGGTGAATCCATGCTGACTACTCCTGATGACTTTCTTGTCCTCCATGTGCATGAGAATATGGTTTCCAGAATTAGTTGTTCCATCACCTTCGCGGGGTTCGAGATGAGTCTGACCAGCCTGTAGTTCCCTGGGTTCTCCTTATTGGCCATCTTGAAGACAGGAGTCTGCTTTCCTCGAGTCCTCAGGCACTTCTCCCAGTCGCCATAATCATTGAAAGATTGTTGAGAGTGGCTTCAGAATGAAATCAAACAGCTCCCTCAGCACTCATGAGTGAATCCCATCAGGGCCCACGGACTTGTGCCTGTGCTGTTTGCTTAAGTATTCCTTAACTTCATCTCTTTTACAAAGGGTGTATCTTTCTTGCTGAGGACTTTGGGTTTGTCTCGTTTGGAGAAAAAGAGGCTGAGGCATGAACTCACTGTTCTCTACAGCTTCCTGAGGAGGGGACATGGAGAGGGAGGTGCTGAGCTCTTCCCCCTGGTATCCAGTGATAGGATGCATGGGAAAAGTTCGAAGCTGTGCTAGGAGAGGTTCAGACTGGACAGTAGGAAGCATTTCTTTACCAAGAGGATGGTCAAACCCTGGAACAGGCTTCCTAGAGAGGTGGTCGATGCCCCAAAGCCATCAGTGTTTAAGAGGCATTTGGACAATGCCCTTAATAAAATGCTTTCACTTGGTCAGCCCTGAATTGGTCAGGCAGTTGGACTAGATGATCATTATAGGTCCCTTCCAACTGAAATATTCTATTCTATTTTATTCTAACATGTGGACTATCACTCCTGGATGAAAGACAGTATTTCTTACTATACTTTAGTTTTTGTTTTGTTCTGCTCTATTTGTTATTACATAGCTGTATGTCAGTCAGCACTAATGCTAACAAACGAATAATAAAACAACTCTGCAGACCCACCAAAAGCATCTGCCCATACCAAAACCTATGGTCATTCAAATTTATCGTGGATTAAACTCCACTGAAAACACTGAATAATCTAGTTGAGACAGTATTTAATCATCATGTGTTTAGTTAATGCATCAAAATGTAAGTCATGCCACTTTAAAGGTATTTATCATTTGACATTTTTATTTATTTCATCAAAACAAGTATAATAGTAAAGATAACTTATGTGGACTATGCTTAAACATACTTGAAATGCTTTCCTACCTCCAGGCATAATCTGACCAACATCCTGTACAGTTAACACTGACAACTTCTCTTCTGTATCCACTCTTATCACGCCAAAACTCAGACAATTCATAGATAACACTGCTTTTCCTGGAGGAGGCCCACCCAGTTCTGGAGGTCTGAAAAACAGAAAGTCAAATCAGATATAAATCAACAGACCAATGGCAATATGGTCATCAAAAACATTGGGCAAGTCTCCCAGGTTTGTTAAGGTTAAGAGAAATAATGGTTTCTCATTTTAAACAAACAAGAATTCAAGACTGGTAATGTACTTTTAACTAGATGAAAAAAGAGCTAGAACAGAAGATCACATAGCTTCCTCCCACTTTAAAATGTTACAGAGAGGATTTAGTTCTATTATGGGCAAAGAAGTGTCACGAATAAGCATTCAAAGGCTAAATTTTCTAAACACCGGGAGAAATTAGGAAGCGTTTGGAAGGCTTGAAACTTCTTACTCTGAGCAGAACTGACTGAGGACCAATAACTCCATTTTGTGTAACTGTTCAACTTTCAGGATGGAACAGAGCAAAAGATTCCAGGGGTTGTTGTAAAAAACAGTTCTTTAAGTGCTTTTTTTTCTTTTTTAAATGGGAAATGTCAGTTCTCCCACCAGAGAAAGCACTATCTAAAATCTCAAACTTCTTTGTTTCAAGTTTTCTTGAAACTGATACTCCGAAAAAGCACATTTTGATCAAAACCACTGTCAAAAAAATATTCCAGCATATTCTATCCATATATCTATTAATAATCAAAGGACTTCCTTTTTTCAGAGCATCCTTTGCCATCTCCAGAAATCCAATGGTATTTTTCAGACAAGTTACAAATATATTTCTTTCTTTAGCCCCCTGTTTACAAGACTGTATATAAGCAATTACTTGAAGATTCAGCATCTTCTTCCTCCCAATTAAGTAACAGTCTTGATTTTTCAGGCATTTTATAAAGGCCCTCCAGCAACATCAGTGAGGATGAGACCTCGCTTTCATGAGCAGTAATAAACCCAAAACCCTTATGGTTGACTGATTTTAAACAACATTAAACTTTTTAAAGAGAACAAAAATCACCCATTCTTCAGTGAAGGATATACCTGTAAGCCTCAGCCTTCCTCTATCTAGGTCTTTGGGCATCTTTATGTGGGTAATAGTATTTTCTGACTGTCATTTTAACACCAGATACATTTCAATAGCCAGGAAATGCTTCAGTTCACTTTTCAGAAAAGAGAATTACCTGCGAATAGCAACAGTTAGCGCCTCTGAAGAACTAGCACAGGGACAGATTACTTCTGGTCTCAAACCTCTGGATTGAAATACATTCAGGAATGCATCACATGAAGATATTGACCCTAAAAAGAACAATCAGACAATGGGAAACATTTTGCCAAGGGCAGGAAAGCTTGAGCTGCAGGATTTCAAAGTCTACGCTTACTCTCACCTCAGCTGTACAAATATGGTTGCATCTATGCACAGAAATAATATACTTTCAAACGGTCTAAAAGACATTCCAGCCTATTATTAGATGTTAGATTTGGAGAAGAATCTCAGTGGTTAACAACTAATTCACTAAATGAAATTCACAACTGCATACTCTCTTTATCTGGCAGCACTCTGTAACACTTAACATCATGGGAAGTCCTTCAGTAATCAGGATATTTTGTCACTAAGAGTAACTGTACCTATCAGCTTCCTATACAGCTCCTATATGAGGTTTTCTTATAGAGGTCACAGAACTAAAGCACTTAGAAATTAAAATCAATTGCTTCTGACATATCTTCACTTCAGTTCAGAACTCTACCTGGCCTCTAGCACTCAGCCCCAAATGCAAGAGGATACCTCATCACCTACAGCTTTGTATTTTACAGTTGTGGAATTGCAGCAAGTAACGCAAACCAGTAAACTTAACTGATTATATTACATCCTAGGCATAATTTCATGTCAATTCATGTAAGAGTACAGCACTGATGAAAAGATGAAGTTAAAAAAAAAAAAAAGAATTTATGCAGCTAAATAAGCTAAATATAGCTAAGAAGTGCAAACAGCAATGAAAAAACAGTGGCATCACTAGCATACAAATAGTATTTTACTACAGAATGAACTGCCTAACTTCCTAAGCATCAGCTCTGAAACAGTGCTTACAACAAATATAATCTTAGCAAGAGCATTCCAAGCTTTCATCTTCCGTCAGTACAACTTGACGACCTCTCATCGTGCAACTCCAAGGAACCTGAAACACTATTGATTTTCTGGCATATGAGAACAGCAAAATTAAGCAACTAAGTTATATTCTTGCCTGTTGCAAAAAAAACCTCCCAGTTGCTTTCTCAAATTACTGTAAACCACCACCATATGATTGACAGAAAAAGGCAAGAACCTACCGCATATTCTAGTTAATAGTTGTCATGGTTTTGAGTTAAGGCTGTGACTGCTCCCATTTTTATGTCCTTGCACATGATTGAGACAAGCCCTAGGGGCACGTACAGAATCAGACACACTGCAACTCACAAGATTTTTATGTCTACATGCAATACATGAGCAACTACTTCGAAACTGACATTGTGATTTACCTGAAATTTTAAAAGCCTCTTTCAAATTACATTGCCAACTATTCTGTATAAAAAGAATAGATCCTTCAGAACATTTTCTACGAACGTTTCGCGCCAGTGTCCTTGGCAAAGAAATATTGCTGCTGTCTCTGCTTTGCTGAAGATGAACTATAGTCAGTGCTGCTGAACTCCTACAGCGCAGACCCAGAGTTCTGTGATTTACAGTGTGCTTTAGTTCACCTTGGACTGATACTCAGAAAATGCATCCATACTCACATGGATTAGCTCCATCTGCCACTATTAACATTCGTAAAGAGCTCAGACTGACATCTCTCTGATCCCTCTGAGCCAAAAGTGACCAGTGCATATCACGTGATTTTACTACTGCTACACGGGCTGAAAATAAAAAAAAAACCCCACAATTACAGTGCATGTGCAGAACAAAATAAAGGCCAACTATAAAATTATATAAATATTTTGTGTATTTACAAAATTTACGAAGCTAAATACAAAACAAACACAAATGCCAAATATTTAACTACTAATGACAGATGTATACTCAATGTCTCCAGATGGACTTGATTATAGAATTTAAATGTTTACTATAAATTCAAATACTGAGATGAGAAACATAGTTTCTTTAAAAGTCTGTCAGAAGTTATCAGTATCACTCATCAGTGAATCTATCGGTACATATTACACTGAAACGGAGTACCTGATTGCTAAAGCCATGGCAAAGAAAGTCAGCAGTGGATAAATGGATAAAACAGCAGTGGCTTCAGCTAGAGAAGACATTTTATACAGATTTTTTTTTTTTTTTAAGATCACCCAAAAAGAGATGGGTTAAGTAAAAATACTTTAAGATTACCTTTGTATGAGCAGACTTTCTGTATCCAGGAAAGTGGATTAACCTTCATTAATGCATAGGGAATACTGATGACATGCATCCTGTTCATAACACTCTATGAGAAAAATATTTAAAAAATGAACTTTCAAGTGGCTCAAACAATACATAGCATGTACCAACACTTAAAAAAAAAAATAATCACAGCTACTGCATAACTTACATTTAACCTAGTGAAAACTATGTGTATAATCAGTAAAAACATAAGCTATGCCCATGCAGTCTGTTACTGAAAAAAACCCACCTTATTCTGAAAAATATAGATATTGAAATATAAATAGTTTGAGAGAGTTTATGACATCATTCTCATACCAAGACTGTCCCCCTGAGAGAAGCAGCCTGCCGCAGTTTTTTTTTTATCGATTCAAATACTCACTGTTAATACTCCATGCCAGAGGCCAGCATCTCTTTTGAAATCCAAGACATTTGTTAGTGTTTCAGCTGAAAGCGAAGGAGAAATTATCAGACATAAGCAGCATATTTATGAGGATATTTAATAACTCAAACTATTTGTTAAAGCAACTATGAAGCTTCCAACACCACTAAGAAATCCAAGCTATGTTGCCATGCCTTCTTGTCTATAACAAACAGGCTGCTTAAGCTGAAAGTGTCTCACTTTACTTATAACAATCAACTTTAAATTATAGACTAGATTATTACAAGATATTTAAGACCCTGTTTTCATTATAATACCACTTCCATGTGTTTGTTACATTTGCCAATGAATTATGCAGACTGAAACTTTAGCTTTGATGCAGACTTTTTCAGCTGGACTGAAAAAGTTCTGCAGTATCTGAAAGAATTAAATTTAGTGAGAAATATTACCATGGCTGCACTAAATTTTCTTCAATGTTTTCTCTGGGAACTTTGAACACATTATGTGATTTTAAAAAATAGAATCGAAGATTTTAAATCAAAGATTCAACCTGATTTTAGAGGAATATCTTGTATTGATCAAGTGAAACTTGCTTATCACTGATGTAGGATGGCTGCATGGACAAGAAATTGTTCTTTGGGGTATTTACTATTCTTTTTCATTTTTTAGAATGTACACAGCTATTTCCCAATAAATAAAATACTTCAGTAAGTCAGCCATATATCCATTCATGCTCTGGGTGACCGAGAGCTTCATTCAGTCTGAGACAGGTACGCAGTCCGAGTCATGAGCCTGTATATAAGGAAATGCAAATGTTCCATATCCTCACTTGTTTTCAACTTTCAGGAAAAGTAAACTGCATAGAACCGGATTTGCTGGAGGAAGCTGCCAGCAGTTTCACAGCATCTTATGACAGACTCTGTATGATCCTCACAGAGAAGGTGATGAAGTATGGGCTGGGAGAGCAGAGAGAGAGATGGACTGAAAACTAACTGAATGTCTGGCCCAGAGGGTGGTGATTGATGGCACAAAGCCAAGCTGGAGGCCAGTAATTAGCTGTGTAGGCCAGGGCTCAATACTGGCTCCAGTTCTATTGAGCATCTTCATTAATGATCCAGGTGATGGGGCAAAGAGTATCCTCAGCAAGTTTGCAGAGGACACAAAGCTGGGAGGAACGGCTGGTACACCAGCAGGTTGTGCTGCCATCCAGAGGGACCTCGACAGGCTGAGGGAACGGTCTGACAGGAATCTCGTGAAGCTCAGCAAGGAGAAATGTAAAGTCCTGCCCCGTGGGGAGGAATAACCCCATGCACCAGGACGTGCTGGGAGCCAACTGCCTGGAGAGCAGCTTTTTGCAGAAAGGGCCCTGGGGTTCATGGTGACCACCAAGTTGAACATGAAACAGAACGTGCCCTTACAGCCAAGGCGGCTAATGGTGCACTGGGAGGGGTGTTGTCAGCAGGTCAACGGAGGTGATCCTTCCCCTCTGCTCAGCACTGGTGAAGCCACAACCTGCAGTATACTGTGTTCATTTCTGGGCTCCCCAGTACAAGCGAGAGATGGAGGTGCTGAAGTGAGTCCAGCGAAGGGCCACAAGGATGATTAAAGCGACTGAAGCATCTGGAAAAACTTTACATGGGGGTAACTGAGTGCTCGCACAAGTAACCCAAAGAGGTTGTGGGGTTTCCATCCTTGGAGATATTGAAAAGCTGTCTGGACATGGTCCGGGGTAACTGGCTCTAGGTCTCCCTGCTTGAGCTGAGGGGTCAGACGAGATGACATCCAGAGGTCCCTTCCAATCTCAACCATTCTGTGATTCTGCGTGTTCCAGGATACATTAGCACACACCACCCCATTGTGGTATAAAATCTAGTCAAACCATGAGATTCTTCCAGCAAACATGATTTCAAAGGGACAAGTTTTTGGTTAATGGTAGCACAGATGAACTCTATGCACTGGGTCAAAACCATGTGCAGTTCTTGACTACTCCTTGAGAGAATGACTGAAAACAAGTACATCTCTCACTTTAATTCAAATCCCTATGGAGATGTTCTTCTGTAGGACATGATTAACTAAGAAGATCCCTTCCTTTCTGAAAATAGGGACTACTATGGCCAAGATTGCAAAGCTGCAAGAAGCTATAAACAAAACAGAAGGCAAAGCTTTATATGGTCTATACAGAACACAAACCTCGTGACAGCACCTCTATCATGTGGCAATAGAAATTTGAAAAATGAACGTACAAGAAGACAAGAGAACTCAGCACCCTCTGTGAAGATCTGAAATGTTAATGGCCAGCAACACTACTCCACATTTGTCTGAAAATTAAGATGTGTAGACCTCTTTGATCCATAATTAGTTGCCATCATTCTTTCAAGATTCAGGAACCGCTGTAAAATCCTTTACCTACACGCTGGTTGCACCCTCCTGTCTCCCAGCACAGTTCTTGTAGTTGGCAGCTGGGAAGGTGTCCCGAAATGAAAATGGGAAAGGATTCTCTTTGATGGTAAGTAAGAAGAGTACAGATAACTGACCGTGAAAACTTCTTTTACCCTATCATACTATTTATGTGGATTTTGGAGGACGACAGATGTAAACCAATTGCCCAAAGGAAGGAGGAAGGAAAAATACGTGCAAGAGAGGACCGTTAGCAACTGTTGCTATCTGGTATCTGCTCATGCAGATCATGTGTCACACTCCTAGGAATCACAAAGTAAAAGAGTTCTAAGGACTATGATGCATACTACATTTTACCTAGTCATTACTGGGTTTCAAGTCAAGACTTCAGAAGCCCTTCCCTTTGGTCAATAACCACAACTCTTTCTCCTGAGAAATAACAAGCTGCATAACTGATACCAGTCTGTCTGTATGGCACACCAGTCTGCACTGTTATAGCAGCTATAACTGGAACTGGCAGCATCCAAAGCTCTTCAAAGAGATCCAAGCTATCCAAATGGCCTCTAGGATCAGTCTAGGAAAGTTCCCTCAATTTCTGCTGAGAAGGCTTCTCTAACTCTGCATGTTGGTATCTCAAACTGGCCCCCTTAGGACTTCATAAAGTGGTTAGTGCGTTCAAAAGGCATTAGGGAGGGCAAAACAGATTTGCAGCAAAGCTGTTTTCAAGATGATGAAAAGAATCAGCATAGCTCTTACCACCACCAAATTTATGAAAACTGAAAAATCCAAACCCTTGAATAAAATCGGTAAGGATCTTCAGTTAAAAAAATTTTAATACACATTGATTATGATTTCACAAGTGGCTTCTTACTTTCCTTCATATATCAGACTAATTATGAATGAGGAAGTTTGTCTTTCCCTTCGCAGTTAAAGCTACTACTGCTTATCTAAACTTCTTTTAAGACAGTAAACATGATTTTGCAACATAAATTGTCTGAATATTCAAAGCTATGAATACCATTTTGAAGTTGTACCTATCTAACTTACCTTCTGAATAACCACATGCCTGAGTCAACGCGTGACAGTGTGCCAGCATGGAAGCATGAGATACAGTAATGCCCACAGTGCTGCCCTCTTTACTTGTTTTATACTGAAAAGGGAAAATTTATACAAGCATTAGATTAACAACAAAATCTAGAAAACTTACAGTATTGAACTGAAAGAATATTTTACTATAAAAATGAAGCGAACTTTTTTTTAAAAAAAAAAAGAAGCTAGCATAAAAGATACATTTCTGTTCAGAGAATATGCTAATATCATATTAAATCTGACTGTTTCTCTACCTCAATTAAACAAACTATGCCAGGGATCCAAAAATGCCAGTTATCCCCAATCTTCAGTCTGATTCAACACAACCACTCAAGTGACAGTTTGCCTGGCAACCTTGAGGGAAATATTCTTGTTGCACAGTTAAAAATATTGTAGTCGTCTCTGTTACTGCAACAAGAGATTAAAGGAAGAAAATGTGCTATGACAAACTACAATACAGTAAGTGTAAGTCAGTCATATTATAATGGATCACCTCAATATAAGCAATCTCAGCACTGGCATCCCGTACTTGCGGATGCCAGTCTTTCGTTGGTTTTGCCAGATGCTTCCCATCAATCACAAACCAAATGAGATGAGGCCAGCCTTCAAAGAAAAAGAAAACTTACTGTCATTATGGTTCGAAAAATCCATTTTTTTTCCCCAGTATTGAGGGATGACAACAGGAGGCAAGCAAAAGCTGCAGCGTCACCCTCCTGACAGGAAGAAGCAGCACAAAGTACTGTCTTGACAATGAAGGCAGTTCTTCTTTATATGTAAGCTAGAAGCATGCAAGCAAACTCCAAGATTGCTGTTTAATAGCAACAATGGATATACCCGCTCTTTATCCTATAAAGAAATTTGACTAGCTTAAACATACCTTTGAATGTAACCACCTCGCCAGTCTGAGCTTTAGGAAGGCCTTTTTGACAGGCATCAGTGGTTAAAGCTAGCGTTACTCCACAGCTGCCCAAAAGAAATCCAATCTGCTGGCTGCCAGCATCCTACACAGAAACCATGTTATAGCAAACTTACAACTAATAAAGCTTTTGTACAGTTTACTGTAACTTTTCCATGTTTAGAAAATATTAAGCCAATTTATATGACAGGAAAAAACAAACTTCTAGTCCGTAAGACCTTTTATGGAAGACAAAAGACTGAAGTCTATGCTCAAAAGGCTTAGCTTTGCTTAGCACCAACTAAACTAGATTTGGCAGTAGATCTAGCAAGCAATGGTAGCAAAGTAGTGTCAAAAGCAATGGTTGTGCATCCTTCTCCAACCCAACAGGGACCTTTATAAGTTCTGGTAAAACAGAGGGCTGGTTTGATGCTGAAGTCCTGAAGCACTGAAGAGCAGAGTCTGTAGCTTTTCAGCTCTTCCCTAATAATCTCAATGTGTGTGGGATTATACCGATATTTCCAGTAACTATTATGTCTCTGCCTGTCTGTGTTCTCATTACCCTGCACGAGAGCTCAAAAGACAGCATTTCTGTGTTGTTTTGAGAAACACTTTCACACATCTCTTCAAAAAATGACTTAAAATAATCTCTACAGTTACACATCCTAAATAGTTAACTTCATAGCTTTATACTATTACCCCCCTTCCCTAACTAAATATTAAATACCTTTCCAAGCATATAATGTGCACTGAGTAGTTCAGCTGATGCACCATACTGCTTTCAAAAGTGCAGGCTATGCATGGTCCCATACAAGGACTATAGGATTTAGACATCTCCCACTTTATTTATGTACAAAACCATAAAAACATCAAATGTATTTGCCTACCTTTCTTGTTAGTGGAACTTCTATTGGGACAGGAATAAGTTCCGCCAGGAGACATCCATAAAATGCCACCATAAACATAACTGGATCGCTATTAGGAAATACAAGAGCTACCTACAAAAATACATTAAAATAACAAGAAATATTTTTTGTTGTCATTTGTGGGGTAGGGGGGCTGCTTTTTAATTTGTGGGAAAAAAAATCTTCACAACAATGTTCATATTTAAACTAGGAACAGAAATACTAAATTATGTGATAGTATGCTATTACAAGTTGCAGTATTACAATGCTTTCTTTAGCTAAAGCTGTTCCTTGCTGTCGTATTTTATCCATAGATACCATTTCAAACAGAAACCTACCCGGTCTCCATGCTTCAGCAGTGGTTCATTTTTAGTGGCTAGCTTGTTTAGCAGGGTATACGCTAACTTCAAGCTTCGACTCCACAGCTTGCCTAAAGAAAAAGAAGACAATACAGAAATTAAAAAATAGTGACTAAAATTTTCACATTTAATTGGCAAATCTCAGTGCCTTATATATGCACTAGGCAAGCTGGTTGTATTAGAACAAGGTCAGCAGGCACATGAGCAAATAACTGGGGAAAAGCAAACAACATTACTGTTGTGAAAGCAATCCCACCTCACAAACCTACTGAGTTCTTCCAACGTTTCAGCGCATCTGTGCGCACATAGCCTGGCTGATCAACCTAACTGCATTTCCAAAAGGCACTTAACAAGACTCCTTCCTAAGGGCTCTTACAGAAAGCAAACTGCTTGGGATAAAAAGAAAAATCTTAAACTGGACAAAAAAAATTAACTGAAAAGTAAGAAACAAAGGGTATAAATAAATGCCACAACATCTGGCTCTGTGAAATACCAGTTCAGTGCTCAGTAGTGATCTACACAGCTCTCAATAATCCAGAACAAAAAATTATTCCAAGCTATTAAATACAAAGACACCAATCTAACTATTTATTTGATGCAATATAAACATCCATTTTTAATTTGTAGCCTTCAAAAAAAAGAGTAGCTTTGCTAAAAAAAAACTGCTTACAAAAAACTGAGGAACAGCAAAACCCTTCCACTGTAAGGGTAAATCAAAGCAAGAACTCCGCAAAGAAGCACGCTGTGGCAAACAACACGCATCTGGAACTCAGCTTTCTAGTACAGGGTCTTTATCATGGACTGACATACACACTCAATCTCTTCAGACCAGGTAGCAACCATCGGTTATTTTATATTCGTCAGTCTCAAACTTCTTCAATTCAACAGTTTCTTTTTTCTGTGTAATTTCCAGTTATATAAAAAGTTACACAGGACTCAAGTACATCTTTATAGAACTGGCCATTCAGTGCAGTTGGCAGAGAGTTCAAGTACAATTTAGAGCTTGGCTTCTTTTCAGTTTGTCTTTTCCTTTCTTTTTTTTTTTTTTTTTATACGTAAAACTAAACATGGTACTCTAAACAGTTCTCAAAGCTCCACTGCAAAGTAATGAAACTCATGCAGCTGCTCAGTTACGTTTCCTGTAAGCGTATTTCATCTGTAAGAATGCAAATAAGAAATTTTAACATTCTAACATACTATACAATGAAATGCTGCAGTTAGCTGTCCTGAGGGACACAATTATCTTCCAGAAAAAATCCAATCACTATAATACTTCTAGTGCAATGATACAGGCAATATGTTTGACTTCCCACAATAACATCCTTAATATGCTCCTGAAGTACAAGTCTTCTCTATAAGGATATGCAAAAACTTTTAATATCTACTCTGGGAATCTGAACAGTGCATTATTAGTCATCTGTTTCTTCTTCCTATTTTACACCAGACTATTTTCAGTGTTCTTTCAAGAAAAAAAACCCACGATTGCTTCAAATTTACAAAAAGTCACTTGAAAAGAATCAATACCATCTACATTTTCCCTTCATTAACTTTAAAATGCTTTTCATATACAATGAATTCATAACTTGCATTCAAATAGCACTCTCATGAGCACCCTCAGTCCCTCTTAAGTAAAGCAAATTGTTCATTCCACTATGAACGCCTAATTCTTCCTTACAGTTATCACCAATACCTACCATAGGTAAGTGTATAAATAGCTTTCCCAGTCGTATCCAAGGCTGTCAGACAAGGGGCTTTCGGCTGGGTAGTTCCCCAGCGTTGCAGGGCAGCCAGCAGAGAAGGTGGCCAGTTGGTTACCACACCTAAAGGTTCACCTTTAAGTACATTCATTTGATTTCCTTCAGGCTTTGGTTGATTTGGGTCAGGCTGTTGCACTAAAACCAGAGCACAGTAAAATCACAAATGTCAGTTCTTACAAAAGTGTGCAAGTTACACTTAACAGACTATTCTACGAACCATTCTCACCTTCCTCTTCCTCACAGCTATCATTATTTCTCCTCTGCTTTATGATGATGCTATGCTAATCATCTGTTGCCTTCACAAAAAATAATTACCATCACTCTAGAGTTCTGATGCCATATTATTCAAAGGAGTTGGTCACAGGAACAGAATTTGAATCCTTAGTTCACTCTTTCTCTCTACTTTAGGAAGATGGTATTTTCTGCTGTTTGTTCTGCACATCTATTTAAATGAAAGCCTACACCAGGTCAAGAAGCTTCATCAGAGAGAACAGCTTCAGTGACAACTGAACTAAATTCTTAACAGGTGATGAAGAATGACACTACGCTCTTAAACAATATATTAAAAAAAGCCAGATGAAATGCTTCTGGTATGGATTATCTACAACTAAAACTGTACCACTTACAGAACATTTTGTTTGATTTCCAGATCATCTCTCTCAACTGTGGAACATTGCAGCGTTTGTATGCCATTTGCTCTCTGAGTAGCCTGCTGTTAAAATCCTGCCCCAAGCTGCTCAAGAAGGTGAAGTATCTTGATCTTAGTTAGCAAAGCAAAGTCATAGTTGGATTTGGCTAACAGTCAGTCTATGCAATAACTAAAATTAACAGTTCAAAGTGATCCTCTCCGCTCTCCACAATGACATACATGCACAACCTCAACAAAAGTTTGCCTGAAAAATCTTCAGCAAAAGACTAGAACCACAAGCACTGCATTATCTTAAAGTATCAAACAAATAGTACACGGAATCTAGTAGCAGCTGCTCAAAAATGTCACATCAAGAACAAAATTTTCATTTAATCTTTAAGAGAACAGAACGAAAATAAATCTCTAAAATTAGCAGATGTAGCTGGTTTTAAAGGCAGCTACATATTGCTAAGCAACTGCTCCATTTGTTAGAGATGCTTTTCTTTCTGCCCAGACATATGCATACAGAGAAGAAAATAGTGGTTTTTAGCCGAGCAGTATCTACAGAGCATGTACAAGCACTATCTTTTCTTGTGGTGCACAGAGAAGACATACCGCACAGTGCACTCAATGCATTTAATCCCTCTGAACCTCTAAAATAATGAGAATTTCTGGATTTCAAGAAGAGGATATTAACATGCATGTAAACAGTATTATAATAAATTCCAGTTACTAGCAAGTAAGTTTTTTCATCTAACTATATTTTGGCACTGACCAGCTACAAAGCTGCTTTTCAGAGCAGCATTTGGGGGTGGCTTGTAGACAAGCAGCTGAATGTGAGCAGCCAGAGAGGCTGTGGAATCTCCATGCTTGCAGATGCTCAGAACTGGAAAGGAGATAGACCTGAGCAGCCTGAGTTAGTCAGACCTGCTTTGAACAGACGGTTGGTTGGAGGCTTCCAGAAATCCACTGCACCATCAGTTACACCCAGGCTATGCCCTGATTTACTCCAAAGAGTACCCTCTATAAATTCACTGATTACTACAGGGCAGAGTTTAGAATCTCTGAGGCAAAAAGTGATGGTGGGACCACCACCAAACATGACAATTTTCTGGATGCACTCCTGTATTTCCTTACAAAGATATGTTCATAATTTCTCCAAGCATCTGTAAATCACTGTTTTTAGTATTCACTAGCTCATCACACTGGTCCAAATTGGGCTGAATCAGAAGAGTTTCAAAAGCGAGGGAGGCAGGGAGAATAAGTACACTGAGTAGCAGGGTTGAGTTGAAGGCACATGACCTTTCTCTCTCCAACATAACAACTCTACCATGATTTGTTTTCTATTGGGAAGAGAAAAACAAAACACCACTTGCTAAGAAGTATCAGTTCTTTTGGGAACCACTTACACAAAGAATGAAAAATGTATTTGAAAGAAAATTAACCTTCTAGAAGTTCTTCAAAATCATCAACAAAAAACTCTTTCAAAGGTGGGCGCTTTGGTCTTTTCAAGGTATTTAGAAGCTGCTGGATTTTAGAGGATACTCTGCTATTCACTGGGACACCTGCCAAACAGAAAAGATTTATTACTTACCACATATTAATAAATATACACTAAGACACATGATGCCACATTGCTGACATCAACTTGCTAAGCTGAGTGCAGCTTTCAGGTGGAAGACTCATTCAAGATGAACAGCTTGTTTGGAATAAAACCCCAGCTATAATCAGTAACAGTTTCAACCATGGATTTATTTGTTTTAAAACAATGCTGTTCCCTAGTTACCTGGCTGATGCATATACCTTCTCACACTTTAATTCAGCTTTTCAAACTGTTAACTCCTTCATGAGATTTCAATATAAATCTGAAGAATGTTCTTTTCTTCAAGAGTCTAGGTATTTGCTACATCTTAGCATTCATTCAGTTCTGAAAGTGTGAGAATGCTTGGAAAAAAAAAGTGAATTTTTCAATGTTTTATAGGGCTAGCAAAAAATAATCACAACACAAAACCATGTCGAATACTGATTTTCATTTGTATATGTGTGTCCTGGTTCGGCTGAAACAGAACT